TGCAAGAATAGAATTGTTATGGAGAGTTTTTTTAAATCCTTTATATTAAGTTCGCGTGCTTGCTTGCTTGCGTGCGTGCGTGCTTGCGTGCTTGCTTGCTTGCTTAGGACCGTGCAAATCTTTCGGTCGTTTTTTAACCCACTTCCCGTGATCCAATCGAGCTGACATTTTCCACACAGACTCGTTGTGTGTGACAATTAATTTTCGTGAAAAAAAATCCAAAATTTTACACTGTTTAGGGAAAACAAATTAAATATTTAATTACCAATTGCTTAATGGTGGCAGACAATCATCTGACCCATAGGTGGCAGCCATCTCAAGCCAGAGGACGAGAGGACTCTAGCCGCCACACATATAAAGGATTTATAGTGAAAAACTTTGTTTTTACGGGTTTACTTGTTTATCATGAATAAATATATTGCCGATTCATACAGTTCTCAAAAAAATGTCCTGAGGATGCTTCCAGGACATGCTGCGAAACGTCGGGACAACGTGCCAATCGACACGTGGCACATCCCAACATCACATCGAGGAGAGCCAAGTGGCAAAACAGCGAAACGCACAAACACGTTACCATTTTGCTCGCTGAGGTTGACGATGGCATTCTCCAGTTCCACAATGCGCACCTTAACTTGGCACAGCAACATCCACTGCAGAGACACAATAATAGTGATTTCAGCTTTCCTGACTTCACGAGGATGTTGGGGACAGCTGCCAGTTTTAAAGGGGCACAAGTAATCAAGCAGAGAGAGGAGTCAATTACATAACTTGGCTGATTGACTTAGAAAAATAAAATGTCGCCCTAGAACTGAGCATCAAAGAGTCACATGGTTTTTTTGGAGAGTATGCATTGAGACCCATGTTGTAACTGATATATTATGTAATTATAAATACTAAATCATAACATATATTACACCGCATTGTTTTTATTTCCAGTCCTTTAATCAGTCCACTGCTGGATGAAGGGCTAACCACAACACGGGCTTAACCGTGCGAGTTTAATCATACTTCACCACCACGTAGGTGGGCATGAACTTCAGGCACAGCTGACAAAAATCCACACCACCATCACCACTCGTGATGGGCTTGGGGGGAGAGAGTTAGAAAACACCCCTCCCCCACACCACAGGAACCTTGGAAATGTTGCAGCTGCTGAAGTACGGCTGCATCAGGGAGCGCAGCTTCTCGTAGCAGAGGCTGACGCTGGTGCGATGGTGCGCCTGGGAGCGGCGTCTGCGCCTTGGTCGACGGTCTGGCTCCATCGTCCACTCGTGTCCGGCACCGCCCGTTGCCTAGAAATCTGGGAGGGCAAGGTTTGAAGGATCGCGCAAAGATGGGAGCCGTAAAGCATTTGATACACCGATGAGTTTGTTGTATGGCAGATGGAGTATTCCCTCATTATTCACGAACTTGCTATCCAAAATTTTGGCAATCTGCAAATCACATTTGGAACTCACACACGACTGCGTCGAGAGAGAAAAATTAACCCGCAAAAAAAAGTTTTTCACTATAAATCCTTTATATGCGTGACATCGGGGCGACTAGAGTCCTCTCGTCCTCTGGCTTGAGATGGCTGTCACCTATGGGTCAGATGATTGTGTGCCAGCATTAACCAATTGGTAAATAAATATTTTTTTTAAATTCCCTAAACAGTGTAAAATTTTGGAACATTTTTTTTTCACGAAAATGCATTGTCACGCACAACGAGTCTGTGTGCAAAATGTCAGCTCGATTGGATCACGGGAAGTGGGTTAAAAAACGACCGAAAGATTTGCACGGTCGTAAGCAAGCAAGCAAGTGAACTTAATATAAAGGATTTAAAAAAGAGAAAGTGATGCTCCTGTGCAACAGCATCATAATTTAAGGTAAGTTCATTCGCAACTATTATTTAATTGATGCTAATTTCGGATATTTAATAGCTTATTTGTGTATTTAAGGAAATGTGTTAGGGCAATATCATCTGCGAAAATTGCTCTTCGTGAGCATCTTCGGAATGTATCCCTCGCGAATAACGAGGGAGCAGCACTTCGTGTCTGACAGGAACCAAGTCTGGCGGTCTGCGGCCCAAGGAACCGTTGCAGATTGGCGACTTTTCAGTCACAGAAAACCACGTTTAGTTCTACAACGTGGCGGCCGTGACATTTATTTGAGAGGTGGCACTGGTCGTATGCATGTTTAACTTCTTTCCCACCGTACCTAACCAACCTTGCCACCTGTGCTAATGAGAGGTGCGGGGTAAGAACAAACGAAACACTAAACGCCAGAGGTGGGACAAAGTCATTGTTATGCAAGTCCAAGTCGAGTCTGAAGTCATCAAATTCATGACTCGAGTCTGACTCGAGTCCAAGTCACATGACTCGAGTCCACACCTCAGAGGTGGGACAAAGTCATTGTTATGCAAGTCCAAGTCGAGTCTGAAGTCATCAAATTCATGACTCGAGTCTGACTCGAGTCCAAGTCACATGACTCGAGTCCACACCTCAGCTAAACGCAGTCGATAGAGACAGATCCACGGTGATATCTCGTTACCTTTTCACCCGGTTCTCTGCTTTTCTACCACACGAGGCCAAGCAACCATCAAAGGATCTGGCGAAACATCATAATTCAAACACATTTTCAAACATCCCAATTCAATTGAAATCCTTCAGAGCAGCAATTTATTTGTCAGTATCACCTAAGGATGGCGTAACTTTGACGGTTCCTATTTTGTTAAGGGGACAACGCCAGTGACATATGTGAGCACTTGAAATGAGTGGGTTTATAAAGCACTGTAATTAGCTTCAAGTAGCCGTACATATATACGGAGTGGTAGCTCTTGCAATTCTAGATTTGAAGCTTTCGTGACTGCAAGGATTCATATTCTTAGGGTTTTTTTTATAAAAATAAAATAAAATAAAGATCTTTATTTTATTTTTATTAATTTTGATGTTTTACCTACGTGACTTTACCGAAAAAACCGAAGAATATGAGCTCTTGCAATCTCTCATTTACTTGATGCAGCTGTATCGTGGCTGTGACGGTTCCACCTGAAGACGGAAGCTTGTGTTGCCTCCGAAACGTCGTGATTTTTATTGTTTTACTTTGATTAATTTTAATGTTTTACCTACGTGACTTTACCGAAAAAACCTAAGAATACATATTGTAAATGTTTACGACTAAATTATTTACCTTCTTATTCTTCGGTTTTTTCGGTAAAGTCACGTAGGTAAAACATCAACATTAATAAAAATAAAATAAAGATCACGACGTTTCGGAGGCAACACAAGTCTCCGTCGTGATCTTTATTTTATTTTAATTAATTTTAATTTTTACCTACGTGACTTTACCGAAAAAAAACCTAAGAATACATATTGTAAATGTTTACGACTAAATTATTTACCTTCTGTGGTACCAATCGCGGCTCTGGCCCATGGGCGAAACGTCGTCGAACTCTGTTGCAACTCATTATTGGGGCTCAATGTGCCCATTAAAGATTATCGATCACCACACTTTTCGATGTAAAGCTTTCGTGACTGCAGGGATTCATCTTCTTGGTTCTTTCGGTAAAGTCACGTAGAAGGAAAGCAATAAAACATAAATAAATTTTATTATTTTTTATTATTTTATTACTTCCCTTCTACGTGACTTTACCGAAATAACCTACAAGATCACCACATTATGAGAATCGAGGTGAGAGGTAACTCGCATGCATGTATACACTTGTTAAAGCAATATTTGAGTTACTCACGCGAGCTAAACGTCGCAGTTGTAATGTGGAGCTGAGTTGAGTTGGCAATGGTGAGGGAGGAGCGGTGGCGCCGTGGTTAGCGCACTGCGCTGTGAGCACCCGGCGCGCCCGGTTCCGATACCTTGGCACGGCAAACGTCACAGTGGATATTCGTCAACATTCTAAACGAATCGATCCTGGGGGGTGCCTGTCACTATCACCAACTCGCAATGACCATGCGTGGTGAAGTATGGTCAAACAACGCGGCGGACGGGGAGGGCTTTAATGTAATCCGTGATTTTACACGGAGGGAACCACATCGCATTAAGCACATCACGAGGCTGTTTGACTATACTTCACCACGCTGCTCAGTGCGAGTTTGTGAGTAGAATGAGGCTCCATTGAAACGTTAAGTTAAATCAAAGTATAGTCGTCGTTTATTCTCTACTGCGCGGCCAGATATTTAACTTTATTTGATAAATAAAGATCGGTCACGTGTACGAGGTCCGGCTTAATATCCGGAGAGTCGTATAATCCGGATCGAACAGCTGCCGCGTTATTTATAATCGATAAAAGTGTCACCCTTGAGCTGTCGATCTCGACGGCAAAGCACGTGGCTTTCGGAATACCTGCGGGTACGGAAGCCGACACGCGTCACGCGACTATAAACGAAGCGCGTTTTGCGTGTAAATCCTCGACTTGATTATAAGACGCATTGCTCCAGCAAAAGTTGGGGTGTTCGTCCTATAATCGTTTAGCTCGGTGTGAGCGACCAGATTAGTGGAATTTTGTTGACACCGGACACGTTCGTGGTGCGTTTTACTTTCTGGGGCGGATTGCTGAAACGTTTACTTTGCCGAGGTTCTAAAAGTAGCCGAGTTAAAGGCATACATCATCACCACCACACCCGGCCATAAACTCATCGCCACTTTCATCATCAGCAGCCATGGTCACGCCACAGCTGGGACGAAGAGCCGAATGGCCCACAGGGCTATACCTAATGAACTTGAACGAAGGCCAACATCTCTCGCGGTCCATCGATTTGACAGCCTCTTAACTGCACATGAACTGCTGATTTCATCGCCCCATCTCGGTGAATGGTCCATTCGGACATTCTGTTATTTTTGGCCATCGGTTATCATCCCTTCTACCCAGTTAACATAAAGCGTTGGTCCAACTAACTCCAACGCGACACGTTTACTGGGTAGAGACGTATCCTGCCCAAGCCCAGTCGTGTAAGCGACTGATTTGACAATCGACACTTGTAGAATAAATGACGCATTTCAATGTTGGATAAATTCTCCAAAAAACAACAACATATCAATGTTTGTTTTATTTTCACAACACTGGAGAAAGCCACTCCGGCAACCGTCATCGATATCACCACCATCGATACTACATTTTGACATCGCACGCACCGCGTTATTTTACATTTGCCAAGAAACCATCGAGGTCCACCACATAGGGTAGTTTCACACTCGGGCACTCTAAAAATGTGAAAATATCAACACGTGCTGGAAAATAAACCATGTACAGAGAGACGCACATGGCTGTTGCGGCAGGGGGTGTCCGTTGAGAGGAGACAGCGTGTACTGTCATGTGATCTGGATAGCGCCATACCCTCGGTTCTTCCATCTGAAACGCTGGTTCAAAAATCTCAATGGCTATCAAGTCACTGAGCCAGTACCATCGATTTTATGGGGTCAAACCCAGGTTTCTGCCACCTGTGATGAACCGAGATTCTCAAGTGTAAGGTGCAAACAGTATTAGCCTGATAATCAAAGGTTGCGCAGAAAAAAACTCCGATTACATTTTATTTTTCAATGTGACCGGGTAGCTCAGAAGTTAGAGCGTTGAGGCATCACAGCTGAGATTCGGGAGTTTGAATCAGAACAGCTGTCCATGGAAAAACCAGGTTCTCAAGTAAAGAGTTCATGATCTCAGTCCAATCACAAATTACTGCCCGAAAAGTGTTACACTTTGGTGTCTTACTTAATCTGGCTAAATTCCAGTTCTGAAAATTGCAAATATCAGTTTGCCACACAGAGCATTCCGCTGTAAAGCAGAGTGGTAGGCAAGTGTTGCCCCCGAGTGTGGAAAATAGGCCACTTTACGAGATTTTAGAAGTAGCCCTATGATATCTCCTTCTGTGGACCGTTCTCCATCACGAGATGACCACACTGCAAATCCAGCATTCCAAATGGATTCTTCTTTTCACATCGACAGCAGAATCAGAATTGGGAGGGGGAAAAAAATATTTTCAGGAAAAAAAACATTGTTTCATTTGGCTTAACTAAGTTGAATACTAACAAAATATATTGAATTCCACGTGGTAGACTACTTTGGATGGCATGAATGAGCACCATTTCTTTGTGGGTGAGTGGCTCATTTTAGTGATAACAAGTAGTTCAGTGAGTCATTCCAGTGCCGTACCCTGCCTTGATAACATGCGATGGTACTCCGCAATGAGAAATGGTAATCTTCAGGCTGCAGAAAAAGGACACCGCCTAACCTGGTGACTTGATTCCAGTAAAAACACAAGTGAGATTAAAAAAAAGAATTTGTGATAAAATAATTTCTTTGATTTTTATGCATGAGCTCTAAATTCTCGCGCTGACTTTAATGGTGTGTCAGCTCCACGTTTCCTCCCCGCCACTCAGCTCCACGATGCAAGCTTTCCTGCGCGTGGGAAATGAGTCCAGATATTATAGTTTTGTTTTTTGCGAGTTTGTGTCTGGGAACTCACACTGCCGGTCACAGAATGAGTAAGTGAGAGTGAGTGAGTGTACAGAAGATGGAGGGAGGTGCCAGATGAGTGCAGGGAGCTTAGGGAGATTCGCGTCTTCTGCTTGGGCCATCATCACTTGAGAAGGGACCACTTGAGCTGTTCTTTGGCTGAATAGAGAACCTGGGCGACAAGATATGATAGTGACTTGAGATTAACACGGTTGGCTACGTATGTTGCGAAAGAAGTTAAACAACATACATTCATATTTGTGTAAAATGTATGGCCCATTTTCAATCCATTATTGGATGAAGGCATTCCCACACCGTGGCAATCATGAGGGTTATTTGCCAATACTTCATAATGCTCATCAGTACCATTTCGTGAATGGTGAAGCCAGGACTGGTTTCCGATATCACTCACCACATATGCTAGCCGTGGCTAAGAATCCAATTCATGTCACTGGGTACAGAGTGCAGTGTATGCTCCAGCCCATTAAAATATAATACAAATAGGGTTTTTTTATATTTTCATATTTTCTTGGGGTGGAGTGGTGGCAATGTCAATGCACTGGACTACGAAGCCATCGACCTGAGTTTCATTTCCGGCCACGGCTAACTGTGTTGGCATGACAAATCTGAACCAGTCCTCAGGGGAGGCCCCAAGGCCAAAATCAAATATAAGTTGTCCAATTTTCACCCGGTTAAACAAATAAACTTGACTTGAACCAAAATCATCTGGATTTGTAGTGCAGTATGCCAACCACTGACACTCCACTCCTCATCGACACAAGTCAAAGCAAGAGCCACATGCATGACATTAAGCTAAAAGCGACGGCCACCACAGTTATATTCACCTGTGCGACCGTCTGTTCCGTCAGTGGGATGTCATCCGACTGAAAAAAAGAAAAACGGTCAACAAGATTAGTTTGTTTACATTTAAAACTCGCCGATGGATTTTAATGATGAAGGAAATCAAGCACTCTGTAAGCAGAGCGGGCAAGAGCATTATCCGTGTCAATGCTGCTGGGGGAAGGATGACATGCGGCAAGAGTTAATCAAGCTATCAAGTGAAATGCCTTCACACACATTGTCGCACATCGGCCGAACTGCACACCCAATCGGGTGAGCATCGGGCAATCGGCACAAATGCAAGCTTCGTGTAAAAAAAACAACCGCAGAGTATCAATGGCACAGTGGTTATTAAAATTGTCAGTGGTTCGAAGGGCAAAGAACACATTTCTCACAGATGAGTCAGCAACCTAGTTGCTATATTATCGCATACCAGAAGGTGCAGAGTGGCGTGTTTGGCCAAACAGTCATGATAATCACGGCTTTTGCTGCCAGAACTGCGTTAGCAATATTTTATTCTTCCACGTTATCTCGAATTTGCTGATGGTGTCAGGGCATGAGACAAAGTATGGATTCGGATCCCTTGTTGTGAAAGCACGGCCCACGAAAGCAGATATCACAAAGCTGCCTCGCGAGATCCTTTCCAAAGACCACTGGTCGATACAGAAGAGGGCAGCACTTTACTAACTGCCAGAAAGTAATGTTTGTAGAAACATTGATTGAAATTAAGTGCAGAAACAAATGCTCAGTCATTTTTTTGTGCACTCTTTCGGTGACCAGACTGAGACTGGCTATGCTTCAGTCCCTGGTTTTAATCAAAGGTGACGGCCAGGATTAGAATCTTCAATCTCTGTTGTAGAAGCTGAGTGCTCTGACCTCCAACCCATCTGGCCACATCCTTGCATGAACAGATTTTAATCCTTCCAGAGCTGTGCTTAGCAAATGTAAGTTAATAGTCAAATGTATTAATTGATGGAATTGTTTCCATGGTTTGAAAACCATCAAACCTACTGAACTTGAGAACCTGGTTTCATCAACCAAAGCACTTCAACCACGCCGTCTTAAGTGCCTCCAAAATAGCTGTTAGAAACCCACTGCACCACCCAGCCTTCCCCAGTTAAACAAATTTCAGTTCAAGCAGTCACACCTGTACACCTTTTCCAATGGTACACCTGAGCTGAGCCAACACGGGGACTTCATGGTCCTGGTGATTTTCCACTGGCTAATTGCTTCGAGGGAGACTGCTGCCACTTTGTGGACACGTCGCCCTGTCTTGATGAGCAAACTCCAGAAAATTGCACACTTCAGTTGGCGGTCGACGTTTGAAGTGGAATGCTACTCTCTAAGGAATGGCACCGTCCCCATAGTGGCCCCTGTGATCCGTAGAACAAATTCCCTAGAGACGCTGGTGTATGGCAGCAAGAGCAGTTTATGCGAATGCTTTTGCAAGAGGTCACATGTTTTGCGCAACGATCCTTCGCTGACTATGCATGATAAATGCATGTTAGCTGAGGCGAGTCAGAACCAAATTGTGATATGCCGGCCTCACAACATAACTAAAACTGTCTGAGGGGGCCAAACAGAGCCAGCGCCCGGGGCTAATCATCTTTGCGACTGCGTGTGAGATAAGCGGCTCAGCACGGCTCGGCTTCTGCGGTGGAAAACGAAGTTTTACCGTGGAAAATAGGTACAGGGATCATGAACCATGGTCTAGGTATACAGAGGATGGGTTAGCAGTTTCACACAGGTCTGCCTTTCTTCGTTACCATTACCTGCAGCACGCGGGGACAAGGGGATGGGCTCGGAGACACAGTACGCGTCAGCTCGATGGCTCAGTATTGATCTGAGCCAAGCAGGCATTAAACCGGCACACGAGGAGAGAACATGATTGTGCACATAAAGCATATTTCGTCAAAGAGGCGTTCTAATTTAAAAAAATAAAATCCAGTGACCACGTTGACAGTGACCTACAACCTGTACAGCCGGATATAACTTTAGGACTGTTGTCATTTGCTCTGAGCACTGCATTTTACATTAAGAAATAGCTAGGCATCTGATAAAGAATAGCAGAAGGCAGAAGAATCTGTTTCAAACTCAGTGTCAATCCCCTGCTTTAAAATTACACATCTGTACCATTGTTAAATTAGCATTTTCTATTTAGTCAGTCTAGTCTAGTCGGCACAACCCATGGAGTTTGAGTCCAAGTGGATTGCATTCTCTTAGTCTACTTAGTTATTAAATTAATGTTGGTGTGAGGTATGTGTAACGTTCACCCCTCTCAATACTGTCAGTGAACTCAGTAAATGTTTTATACACAAATAAGATAATTACATGTTTGTTCTTCCTCAATAGATTTGTCAATGAATGGTCGTCACCGATTAAAATAAAAAATACCACTTTTGTTGACAAATATTTTCGTCACCTATTTTCTTCACAAAATGAAGACTGGCATGTTTACTTTATCTGCTTGCTGTGTATGACACGCAAAAGTCAAGTCAGCGCCACCGTCTCTCCCTCGTGGTGGCCTGGTCTCAGGGTCGAAGAACTACACAGTTCACGTTGCATCAAAAAAGCACAGAACATTATAAAGGACTCTTCTCACCCTGGACACTCACTGTTTGAGCTGTTGCCATCAGGCAGACGATTCAGATCAGTCAAAACAAGGACAAACAGATTCAAACAGAGCTTTTATCCTACAGCGATCACCACACTCAATAATGCTAATTAATTATTAAGTAATAGTGTTTACAATTGATTGTGAAATAGAGATGTGCAATGACAAAATGTAACCTTATGTGGGTATGTGGGTATACTTGGGCTGTTTTTATATATAGTATAAATTGATTATCTTTCATTTAATTTTATTTTTATTTTCTTGTTTTATTTAATTTAAATTTATGAATGATGCCCTGACTGGTGAGCATTTTAAATTTCGTTGTACTGGTGAAAATTACAATAAACGATCTATCTATCGATAGGGCAGCGTTTCTGAAACCTGTTTGGCCCGCACACCACTCAGCCGATGCAAACATATCCACGGACCACCACCAGCCCTCCACCAATGGTGACAAAACGCATTCACTTCTCTCTAAATACCATTCATACTAAATGATCCATATTACCAGAACATAAACTTTTATTTTTAATGCAGCGATAAGGTTTTTTCTTGGGGGGGGGGGGACATTTAGATTTTAGGGTTAGGTTAGTTTACCAGGGTACGTGACTTTACCGAAAAAACCTAAGAATATTTACCAGGGTAGTTTACCTCATTTCATTTTTAAATTAAATATAAGTAAAATATTAATTCATGTCCGAAACAAAAGGTCATTATTTCCGGATCAACCTGCATTTGGATCAGCCCATGGACCACATGGAGGAGCGTCACGGACCACTGCTGCTCCAGGGACAACACTTTGAGAACCACTGCTCTAGGGTGATGCATGGGGTCATGGTTATTACGAAGCCACTGGAGCTATGCACTTATAAATCTAGATTGAAAACCCATTTCTTTAGAACTGTATTTGTGTTTAGTTTGTTGTCCTTCCCCGCACCTCCGATTAGCACAGTCGGCTACGTACAATGCAAAAGAAGTTCAACATACGTACATACACAAGTGCAAAAGCACGATGTCAAGCTTTCGGCCCACCGAGATGAAGGAGGGCCGCTCATGTGGCCCACTAACTCATCTATAGGTTGCCCATCACTGCTCCATACGGATGATCACTATCGACTTTCCAAAAAATGGTACTGTACAATTATCTATTGACGATAAAAATATGCAGCAACATTATATTTACTGAAGAAACATTAAACATTTAAGTATTATTGAAACCACTGAGCAAGCAACGACACTCAAGCAAATTGCCTGTAATTTTTTTCCACACACCAATATTAGCCCAACGCAGGCAACCTACACACCAGGAAAATGAATCACTCGTTCGTCATATTCATTTAATTTGTTTATCAAATGACGCACAGGTTAGGACAAGCAAGTAAAGGTGGCATGAATACTACCAGAAATAAGGGATGCAATTGGTGTATAATTTAAAGTTTTAATTTCGATTTAAAGCTTTCGTGACTGCAGGGATTCATCTTCTTGGTTCTTTCAGTAAAGTCACGTAGAAGGGAAGTAACAAAACAATAAAAATAAAACATAATAAAATAATTCTCACGACGTTTCGGCCACAACACAAGTAGCCGTCCTCAGGTGAAGACAGGTCTGTCGAGGCGACAGCGTCTAAAAGAAAAACACCACCACGCTTGGAGCGTCTATTTAAGCTGGGTTGGAAGGGGGGGGGGGAATGCGCATTGAAAAAATAATATTTATGGGAAATGCAGGAATGCGATTAGTGCTAATCGCATTCCTGCATTTCCCATAAATACGCTAAATTCCTATTGATATGCAGATTATTTTGTCAATGCGCATTTCCCCCCCCCCCCCCTTGCAACCCAGCTTAAATAGACGCTCCAGGCGTGGTGGTGTTTTTCTTTTAGAAGCTGTCGCCTCGACAGACCTGTCTTCACCTGAGGACGGCTACTTGTGTTGTGGCCGAAACGTCGTGAGAATTATTTTATTATGTTTTATTTGTATTGTTTTGTTACTTCCCTTCTACGTGACTTTACCGAAAGAACCAAGAAGAATTTAAAGTTTGTATAGGGCGTTTGGTTTGGTAAAGTGTGGGTGCCATCACCTCTTGCCAGAAGTCTGACGGGCGTAAAAATATGAAGAAAAATATGTGGAAGGGCTCTCTAGAGCTCTCCCAGCAGTAACGTGAGCAAGCAGTTTCAGGGCTGCACCTTTACCTTTTAGAGCTTATCAGATTGCATATTGCACCTAATTCTTTATTTGCCCAGGAAAGCCCAAGTTCCTGGAACTGTTTTTAAAAGACCATGCTTTAGAAGGTCTGGCCAATACTAGTTTGAACTTGTATTATCATGTGTGAGAGGCAACTAGGCTTGCATGCATGTGGCTCACGACTGATGTTAGCCATAAGCAGGAATCGAACTTTGGTCGGCAGGTTCGTAACCGAGAGCACTAACCACGCACTACCACTCTACAAAGACAAAGATTACCCGTTTAGGCTTAGCAGACAATAGGAGCAAGTGCTGTTAGCGAGCACCTATGAAGGCCGGCATGGCACATGAGGGCGTGGGTAGCCAGCACCATGCCCGGGTACCTGTCTCCTTAGTGGCAATGTTTACACACCACACCCGGCACTCATTTGAGGCTGAGTCGACCTAAGGGAGGCCCAGGACCGGTTAAGATAATTATCACTGGTGTTGGTTTCCGTGAGCGGGAATCGAACCCGAGCTGCCGGGTCCATAGCGCTCCCCACCCCACTTAGCAGCACGCTAAGCGCTCCCCACTACCATTCTACACACAAACACATGCACATGGGCTCAGACATATACAAGCTCATGCCACTCTGCACTGCACTAAGGGTTAGAGAGAAAAAAGCACCAAGGAGTGAAGTAGAGGGGAGTGGGAGCCCAGGTTACCTTGCTGGCCAGCAGATCTAAGAGAACAAAGCCATACGGCCCTTCAGAGACATCCAGCTGTAGGTGCGCACGATAAGACACACATCACACACACACAGGTAAAACGTTGTTGCTTATCTGCAAATTCTCCACATTCGCGATGCCGTGCCAGAACATCACCGTGGATAAGAGGAGTTACGCCGTAGTGATCGGTCAACCAATATTTGGTGCTCAGGATCCCGGTTACGATGGGTGTTAATGCTGAATTGGTAAAGCTGGAATGTGGAGTAGACTGGTGATGGCTTACCCTGAGAGACACCCTCTGCATGACCTGAAGGGGGTCACTCTCCAGAACCACTCTGCATATCGACAATGACACACACGCATGCAGACACACGCAGACACACGTACACACTGATAAGACAAAGATCCCCCGTATAACCGTAACAGACTGTTGGGGCAAGTGCTCTTAGCGAGGAGCACCTATGAAGGCCTGCACGGCACACAATGGGGTGTGGGTGGCCAGCACCACGCCCGACACATTGATCAATAAATATGCAAACACCACATGCATAAATACATTCATACACACAAAAGAAAATGGTAAATAACTGCAGAAATATGTTAACGTACTTCATAAATATAACACATTAACATTTTCACAAGAAATGTTAAACCCGTTTATTGCTGTTGGATAATCTTTTGATCGGAATTTCTTCACGAGAGGCATTAAACAGCATTGTAGGCACTTGCCATGTTTTACGCTAAGGGAAGGCATTAGTATTGTCTATTCCTGTATTTATAATACACTGTGGAGAGTAAGCTGCACCCCAAATGTGTGCTCAGTGTCAATTCAGTTTTACACCCAACCGCCCAGGTTATACAGAGGTGCATCTTATTATCCAGAGAATATAGTATTTATGTTGTTTATAATGAATTCGTTGCAACCTACCCGCCATCAACGATTTCATCCACCGCCAAGAAAACAGCATCCATGTTTTCCATCAGGGCTCGCTTCTCGACATTTTTCCTGCAGGGGTTTAAAAAAAAATTTGCACCGCGTTTCCGCAAACAGAGAGCGCATGACATGTCGGATACTTCAACAGTTGCACCCCACCCAGTGCACGATGTTGCCTACTGCATTCATAACCCGCTCGTTAAAGTTGACTCGATAAAAATTAGGCAATGCTTCCAAAATGGTGTAATGGTTAGCGCATTGGACTTGCAATCCATAGGTCACTGGATCAACTTGGGGGCACAGCGGTGGCGAGATGTTAACTCCTCCGCCTGGTATGCTGGAGGTCGTGGGTTCGATCCCTCCACATTTAGAATTAGAGTGTGGTTAGAGTATATGGTTGCTATGAATTTCCACATGATAAGCCATTTCATTGGGCTATCATTTGTGGCCAGGGCGCTTCTGAAAAAGAGCTACATAGCTTAATGGGCCTTACCTGGTAAAATAAAAATAGTTTAGTTTAAACAGTTTTTTATTCCATCTCCCCGCACAGCAGATGAAACAAAGATTTTTAAATATGCCCTGTCTCTTTCGACACAGCAGTTTAAATGAGTACACCTGTTAGCCTATTGGCAGTTTGCATATGGTGAGGTGAAGTGGAGGTACCCCTGTCCTCTTCCAAGATGTCTGGCCAGCATGGATGAGTCGGCCAAACTACATACGGGGGTAGTACTCTTGAGCTACCCCCAATGCAGGCCCTTGCAGACCGGTATAAAGACTTACTATTTTTATGATTAGATTTTTTTTTACCAAGTAAGGCCCATTGAACTATATAGCTCTTTTTCAGAAGCAACTTGGCCACAAATTATAGCTCAACGAAGTGACTTATCATCTGGAAATTTCTTCTTGTTTAGTGCTGCCTAACGGCGTATGCGACTTCACGATGATATTGGTCCCGGTCTAGCACGGCGTGTAGAGTTTGTGCTGTTGTTAATTGTAGCCATGTTTTGATGTTACTGAGCCATGTCGTTTTTGGCCGTCCTGGTCGTTTTTTCCCTTCGATTTTTCCTTCCAGGATTTGCTTTAATAGCTGGTATTTGTGGTCGTTTCGGGCAATGTGGCCTAGGTAGTAACACTTCCTGCTAATGATGGTCTTCAGCAGTTGCCTGTCAGTGCCCATATCTTGCATAACTTGTGTGTTGGTGGTTTTGGCTGTCCATGGGATTTTCAGCATTCTTCGATACAGCCACATCTCGAAAGCTTCGAGCCTTTTTGTTGCTGTTGTTGTCAGTGTCCACGTCTCTACTCCGTACAGCAAAATTGACCAGATGTAGCATTTCAGTGTGCGCAGCCAAATACTCTAAACGAATGGTTCTAAATGTGGAAAATAAACCGGAGAACCCAGAGAAAAATCCACAGGACCACGGGGAAAACATGAAAACTCCAAATATAAATGCATCACGGTCGGGATCGCATCCACGACCTTCTGCATACCAGGCGAGGGAGTTAATATCTCAACACCGTGGCACCCCATTTATGATACTACAATCATAAATGCCCTTTGATTAAGGGTGATGAGTGATGGTTAAAATGAGCTGTCACGCTTACCTGAACATCTGTCCCAGAGACTCCACCAAGCAACTGAGGACAGTCATGAGCATCAGCTGCAAATGGCAAAGATAACAATGATCATGAGCTCCATGCTTTACAGCCGGGAGAGATGGTTGAAGTGCTTTGGGAAAACTGGACAAGATAAGGAAAAGCAGCATTGGAAATGTGAATATAATTTTAAATGAGTGCAATTACCCACTATGGCATTTGGAACAGAATATAGAACAAAAGCCAAATGGCACAAACAGTAGCCTGAAGAGGTGCACGCTTGAGATTACACCGAGAAAGAGGAACACTTGGACAGAAAGAGGAATACACGGATCACAGAGCAACTACAAGTCAATGACATCACACTGACTTAACCCTTTCCCGTTCGAGACGTCTACAAATTGCATGGTGGGTCCCGTTCATCGTGAATCTCGGAACGTGCGAACGGTGAACGTTAATTGTATTTAGATGCATAGCGCCCTTGTTTTAATAGACTTTGTACTCACCGCAGAGAATTGTTGCGACATTATCGCACTCTACGATAGCTGGCGCCAAAATGTGCCACACGCCCTCCTGCATGACCTTTTACCTCCGATTCCATTCCGATGATGTACGTGTACGAACATGTACGTCAGAAGAAAAACTGATGATGTACATGTATGTCATCGGAACGGGAAAGGATTAAGAAAAGTAAACAGGCTTGAGAAGGACGCATCGCGAAGAGGGATGCTACCCGGTGGTCAAGACTGACGGGGGAGTGGCAACCAAAGGAGACAACATGTCGACAGGATGTACGCAGAGCAGATCCAGCGATGCAATCAGTTTGCGTGCAGGAGCTAGACAGATGGGATTGTTGCGTAGCAAGACCATGTGGGATGGCTTGGGGAGGCCTTCATCCAGCAGTGGATAGATCATGGGTAATAGACGATGATGATGATGATCATCATCATCATGATGGCGGCACTGATACAGCACTGCTTGGGTATCCACCTCATAATTAAACTAGGTTATATTGTGTTGAGTTGTATGGATGTGGAACTTTATTCACAGTATTTTCAGACATTTTAATATTAAAGTTTACTTTGAGCAGACTACTGATCTGGCCCTGAAGACAAACCTATTCAACAAAAAACTATTAAATTATTTATTTTACCAGATAAGGCCCACTGAGCTATTAGCTCTTTTTAAATCCTTTATATTAAGTTTGCTTGCTTGCTTGCGTGCTTGCTTGCTTACGACCGTGCAAATCTTTCGGTCGTTTTTTAACCCACTTCCCGTGATCCAATCGAGCTGACATTTTGCACACAGACTCGTTGTGCGAGACAATTAATGTTCGTGAAAATTTTTTTCAAAATTTTACACTGTTTAGGGAAAACAAATTAAATATTTAATTACCAATTGCTTAATACTGGCAGACAATCATCTGACCCATGGGTGGCAGCCATCTCAAGCCAGAGGACGAGAGGACTCTAGCCGCCACGCATATACTGTAAAGGATTTATAGTGAAAAACTTTGCTTTTACGGGTTATACTTATTAAGAAGCTACCTAGCTACGAATGATAGCTCAATCAAATGGCTTATCATGGTCACATTTATAGCAGCCAAATAATCTAAACACGTTTCCAAATGCGGAGGGGAAAACCAGAGGACCCAGAGCAAAATCCACACGACCACAGGGAGAACACGCATTTTCCAAATATACAAGCATCAGGGTTGGGATCAAAACCACGAGTTCCTGTATACCAGGCGAGGTAGTTAACATCTCGCCATCATGGCACCCACAACGGGGCTCTGCATCCCTGTGTCGGTGGGCAAGTCTCAACATCCAAGTACAAGCAGAGATGGGGTCAGAGGGTTGTGTGGTCACCTCGTTCTCCTGGGGGCTCCCGATGACGTAGAAGTAGAGGTCGACGCTGCTCTTGTAGACGACGGTTAGGCCTTCGAGCAGCGCAATCTCGCCTGCGCACACACGCGCACACACGCGCACACACGCGCACACACGCGTGTACGTGTGAAGCTGTACGTGCGAGGCTGCCACAGGACACAAGTGGGTGGGTGGCCAGCACCACGCCTTTGTCTCCCTAGTGGCAATAAGTACACGCCACACCAAGCACTCATTTGAGGCTGCGTCAACCTAGGGGTGGCCCAAGACCCGTTTAGATAATCGTCACTTGTGTTGGCTGTGAGCAAGAATCGAACTCGGACCGTCGGGTTCGTAGCGCAGCTCGCCGAACGCTCCCCTATGGGCAGGTACACACTAACATGCATGCACTAACATGCACGCACATGTGCATGCAGAAACAAAAAACAAAAGATCTCCCATGTAGGCTTCACAGACTGAGAGATTTGGCAGAAGGCACAGCCACTGGGTGGCGGCCATTAGCTATAGAAATAAATTGAACAAATGATGTTCATGTACAACCAACCCTTTGGTCAATTTACTGCCGGATGAGGGCCTCCCTATTTCTGTGCGGGTCATGAGGGTTATTTGACCATACGTTGCTGTGCTGATCAGTGCTGGTTGGTGAAGGCGGGGAGCAAAAATGTTGCAGCACAGTACAGCAAGAACATACATTTGTTGCATTGCCCTCTGCTGATAAAACAGGAGTCCACAAAAACTGTTTTGTACACAATGGTTACCCATCCAAGCACTATCCAGGCTACATTATGGGCCCTCCATTGCCAGTACTGAAACCTTTCAGTTTGGTGTTTTAACATCTTAACACCTGTTTTGTTGCCAGAAACAAAAAGGGAAAACCTATTCTCACTATCCAGGCTCTCCCCTGCTTGACTGAGTGCATTCCAGATGATTTGGTCTTATCTGCGATGAACATATAATACATATTAATTTGTTTACCCAAAAACGCTTTGCCGAGTCTCTTGTTTTTCTGCAGCAACCTGCTGTGGACGATTGGCAATTTTTTTTGTTGGAGCATATTTTGTGTGCGTGGGAGCAAGCAGAAGTGCTGTCTTATAGAACTTGAACAAGGTGAGGATTAATTTAGGTGATATATTGTACAGAAGTTCTCAGTAACATGGTTACTTTACTTCAGGAATGCTCTTGAGATGTACCCTGCGTAACGGCAGTTATTACTTTTTAACAAATATATTTAGCGCGGCAGGTGAGATTTCTACCATGAGCAGCAAATTAAACATATTTAAAGTGTGCAAAGAAGCACGCAAATGTGCATGTTCGGGACCATACTAGGAGACAAAGAGGAACAAACTGACCAGGAAGCACACGTTAGAGACGTTACATTGATGTCGCTAGCAGGGCTTACGGCCAACGGTCGAGACTACCGACACAGCCGCAGTCAAGAGAAGGAACATGTCCGAGTTTGTCCGCCATGGAGGTGTAATAATGGTTAGCGTGCAGGAACTAGATGGTTTGTTGCATCACAAGACCAGAAGAGATAGCGATAGCTTACAGAGGCCTTCGCAGTGGCTAGATCGTGGCTGTTGCTGCAAAAAAATACGATTTGGTGCAGGCTGTATTGTGTCCTGAGGGTTAGGGTACAATGTGAACAGCACTTACTGTCAGTGCGGTGTGTTTTGTTGAAAATGTTTTTCTCAAATGTCTTCTGCTCCTTCACCGATGGGTATGTGTCATCATAGTACTGGAATGCACACAAGCACGGGCACACACAGACAGAGGGAATTCACGTCACACACATTTACTTCCCAATGATGGATCCCGGGCGAGTCAGTGTAAGTGCAGCATCCTTTTGATGCATCGCTCACATACCAAGCTCCAAGAGTTACCTTCTGGCCACGCCTTTAATAGCATGTGTTATATAACATTATTAACCCAGTAATAACTGCTCTTTAGAATCAGCTGAAATCATTTTGAGCGTCTCAATTGGAAGGGCGAGTTAGGGTAAAATATAAAATTTGTGATACAGAAATGATGTGCAAAAAATTGTAAATGAAACTAGACTAGCAAAAGAAAACTAATTAAATTAAGTTACCAGAACACTTTTGTCATTCAATTGCTAGATTTATTTGACCATACTTCACCACAATGGTCAGTGCGGGTTGGCTAAAATGAACACCACAGACGTTATGTTAGATAAATACAATACTGTACTGTGCAACAATGTATTTTTCTGCAATGCCCTCTGCTGCCCAAACATAGAAAAATGATAAATATCCTAAAAAAATTATAAAGTGCAGAATATAAAGGTATTGTAAAATGAAACAGCTAAACGTTGTGATTACATTTCACATTGTACAGAACATAGGTGACAATTTAAATTACATTTTAGTATGATGATGTTCGTTTTAGTTTTAAGAATGGTTAGAGTTTTGGGTTTAACAAGCTGGCTGAAATCAAATATTTGGCATACAAGGGTCAGTGGGAGGACAATACATATATGCCTTATTTAAAATATTATGCAACCTTTAAGAAACAGGCTAGGACAGTGGTGGGGAACCTTTGGCCCATGGCTGGATATTGCCCGAGGCTTTATTTCATACACCCCATGGCTGCTTGGAGCCTGCCTCGTCTAAAAGGCCCACATATTTATCAGTCATTGCAAACACAAATCCGGTATTCCAGGTGAATATTTTCGACTTGGCAAAAATGTGTTTTAAATTTTCAGGTTAAAACAGTTTCTGTAGTTGCAAGGCCCTCTTGCAGTGACAGAAGTGAGCGAGGTATGTTAATGTGTAGTTGCCCGCCAAAAGTATTCTGCGCTCAGTACGGAAAACGTTATCCACCTCTATATTAAGACCACAAACCAGCGTCAAACGAGTTGCACATTTTGCTCAGATGAATACCCAGCCGATGCTGCTTCTGGGTTCCCGAGTGAGCTTACCTTCGCATAGAGTCGTTCCCCATCATTGTCCAGGATTATGATGGCTTTTACGGTGTACAGAGAGGGCTCCTGTCAGGACACATCAAGACAGGCAGACACAATGTCAGACAATAATTGGTTGGAGAGGCACAGTCAGAATAGGTTTTGCCCTTTCTGGCAATAATACAGGTGTTAAGATGTTCAAACACCAGCACCTTTTCCAGGGCATCAAGTCTGAATTAACCACACGTAATTGTGGCAAAACATCCAAACACGAGTACGTGTGGACAATGCAGACTTGATGCCTCGCAAAAGGTATTTGAGCATCTAAACACTTGTTTTATTGTCAAAAAGAGCGAACCCTATTCTTAAGTTTGATATGATACTGGCAAAAAAGGTCCCATAGATAGTCAGATATTCAAAGACAAAAAGAGACAGCCACACAGAAAAACAGACAGTCAAATACAAAAGAGAGACTGCTCTTTGCAGAGCCACTCATAGATATATGGTAAAGAGAGAAAAAAAAAGACAAGACAGAGTCAAAAAGACGCGTAGACAGGCAGGCTGGCAGGAACAAACACAAATGTAAACAGAGAGAGCCAAATATTGTAGACAAATTGTGACTGCCAGACATAACCGGATATACAACCAGGCAGGCAATCGGTTATCCGGACTGATAAAGACAGTGAGACACATGCAAAAAGACGGCAACAAAGGCTTATCATTTAGGCTTTCTGCTGAGTGAGACCTCATCGATATGTATTATCCCTGATGAGGCCGAGTGGACCAGGGAATATTCCCAAGTCAGACTGATAAACCAAGAGCCACTGGGACAATAGTGCAACCGATTGTTATGAGCATGATATGGATTATTCCGTTATAATCGGGTTTTCTCGTCAAGTACAGATTTGATGCATGATGGCTACCCATCGAACAAAGACGGTCACTGCATCGCGCGCTTTCAGATGTGCTTCTGGGTCCGTCTGGAACGCTCTTCTTTCCGATATTAGAGAGCCACTGGAGCTATTCACTTGTAAAACTACGTACGGTGCTAAAGAAGTTCAACATACACACATACACGATGCACACGCCTGCGCTCCAGCGCTTAGGAGGCGAGGAGGGTTAGTGGATCACGTAGAGATTCGTGAAACTTCATAACCCACTGGGCTTGATGGCGGTCACGAGACACTGTCGGGAGAAAGATGAATGGCTGTACAACAAATGGATTCTTGAATAAATCTGTGGTGAGCTTTCAATGTGTCATCATCTCCGTGAGCATGGTGGGTTTCTCCAGGTTTCTCCAGGTTCTTGGCGACATCATTAAAAGGGACCTGGAAAAACCAGGCCCATGCAGGACAACCCCCCCCATAAGGACATTGTTGATACGCAGTGAGGTTTTACTGGGTAAACGAAGTACATTCTTATAATTGTTTTTTTCCTCTGTCATACGACAACACCGAGCGGCGTCCTGAGCGAGGGGACGCCACACACAGTAACAACGCGTTGTACAATTACAAGTTATAGTTGCACTATGCAGGACCCTGTGCGACAGGAGCACATAGAGATGTTACGATGATGAGTTTAACACGTCGGCTTAACTCATTGCGATTAGTTTATGTGAATGCGCCGAGCTACAATTCCTCTGGTGATGATGTGTAGAGTTAATAGCGTCTGGACCGAGTTGTGATGCCGTGCTTTAGAGTTGAAGTATACAGTACGGCGCTGAATTAGTTAATGGCTCACGATCCAGTAAGAACTCAATAACTATGAACCACTAGTTAGTATAAGCCAGTACAGTGACTATGAATCGAATCTTTTAAAATATAATAATTTTAACTCGCCAATTGACACAACGTGACCGGATACCACGAACCATGTTTCGATAATTGAACAGCAAAGCGAAAATAAAACAACGGCGTAGCAAGCACAACGTGACGTCTAGCTTAAGCATTCATTAACGACACCAAATTTAATCACAATTATAATCTTAAACAATGACAATTCGCGAAACCAGCGAGGCTGCGTTACCATGACGCCTGGACCAGGCCTTGGGACCAGGAACCGGGGACCGGTCCCGCGTCCCGCCACACCATTGGTTGAGCCGACAGCCAATCGCATCGCGTTCTTCCCGATCGCGCGCGACCCGTCAGCCAATGGCGAGTGACCTCGCCCATGTAATGCGAGTGTCGCGCTGAGTAACGCGCTCTGCTATTGGTCGAAATGTTTCCAACGTCACGTGCTCGTGGCATGTATTGTTTTAATCTGGTAGGAACGAAGTGGACCAGACCACCAATAGATTAATGTATCCGTCCGTCCGTCCGTGGGAGGGGTGGTGTTGAGGGTGGTGTTGGAAATGAAAGACTACGAGTCTTTAAATCTCACAGCGTTTCTTGTCAAAACACTTTTAATTAACGTTACACTAGAATACAGTAATTTTTTTCTTTAACTCCTCTATACCCGGTCGATATCTCTGTACCGGTACTAAGTATTATTCCTACCAGCCCACCCCGCAGGGTCCTGTTAATCTGGCTGTGACGGTCCCACCTGATGACGGAGACTTGTGTTGCCTCCTAAACGTCGTGATCTTTATTTTATTTTTATTAATTTTGATGTTTTACCTACGTGACTTTACCGAAAAAATCTAAGAATATGAATCCTTGCAGTCACGAAAGCTTCAAATCTAGAATGTATTGTTTTGTACCACTTTTATTTTCTACATCAACGAAGATGTATTGAAAACAATGGTCTTTTTAAATCCTTTATATTAAGTTCGCTTGCTTGCTTGCGTGCTTGCTTGCTTGCTTACGACCGTGCAAATTTTTCGCTCGTTTTTTAACCCACTTCCCGTGATCCAATCGAGCTGACATTTTGCACACAGACTCGTTGTGCGAGACAATTAATGTTTGTGAAAATTTTTTTCCAAAATTTTACACTGTTTAGGGAAAACAAATTAAATATTTAATTACCAATTGCTTAATACTGGCAGACAATCATCTGACCTATAGGTGGCAGCCATCTCAAGCCAGAGGACGAGAGGGCTCTAGCCGCCACGCATATAAAGGATTTATAGTGAAAACTTTGTTTTTACGGGTTATACTTATTTGCACGAATTAAAAACAAACCATGTAAGCTAAATGTGGCCAAAATTCCACCAGCGTTTTACTAAAAGATATCAAATGCAATGCAATTAAAATGAAACAGTCTCTAGATTTGAAGCTTTCGTGACTGCAAGGATTCATATTCTTAGGTTGTTTCGGTAAAGTCACGTAGGTAAAAAATGTAAATTAATAAAAGTAAAATAAAACAAATTAAAAAATTCACGACGTTTCGGAAGCAACACAAGCCTCCGTCTTCAGGTGGAACCGTCACAGCCACGACAGCTGTCGTGAATTTTTTAATTTGTGTTATTTTACTTTTATTAATTAATATTTTTTACCTAACGTGACTTTACCGAAAAAACCTAATTGCGCTCCTCTGTCCACCATGTCCAATCGCACCACATCGCCCCACCTCTCCTTCTGCCTTCCTCTTGATCTCTTTCATTCCACTTGCACCTTCTGACCCACATAATTGTCCTATTGTCTCTTAACATGACCGAACCACACCAGCACTTTATCATCTGATTTCTACTACATTTAGTCTTCCTCTCCTTAATTTCTCACCCTGTCCTTCTTTGTTAAACCCAACATCCACTACAGCGTCCTCATCTCTGTGACTGCCATAGCGTGGTCCTAATCTCTTGTGCCCCAGCACTCGGCCCCATACAACAGCACCGGCCTCACCGCCTTCTTGGACACTTTTCCCTTCAACCAAACTGGGACCCTCTTTTCACATCACACCAGTCATCTATCGCCATTTCAGCCATCCAGCCCTTGTTCTTGTTCTCATCTCTCCTTCTAGTGATCCATCAGCACCACGTCGTTGCACCCAGCTACTTAAACTCGTTCTTCGTTAACTGGTCACTTTCATCTTCTTGGTTCTTTCGGTAAAGTCACGTAGAAGGGAAGTAATAAAATAATAAAAATAAAACACAATAAAATAATTCTCACGACGTTTATTGTGTTTTATTTTTATTATTTTATTACTTCCCTTCTACGTGACTTTACCGAAAGAACCAAGAAGATGAATCCCTGCAGTCACGAAAGCTTTAAATCGAAATGGTCACTTTCAATTTGCAATCGTGCATTCCACTGAAATTTGCCACCATACACTCAGTCTTTGACTGATCCTCAACCCATTGCCTTCAATCTTTTGCACACAGGTCTTAAAATCATCTTACACTACCCCTCTGCTTTCACCGCATAGCACAATGTCGTCTGCAAACTGCATACACGAGGGGGGCTCCCTCTCAATATCTCTCGTTAGTGTCCAGCACCAGGATGAACAGGAAGGGGCCTAGGAGGGAACCTTGCTTCACTCCCGCTTCGACTTGCAAGATCTCCGACACTCCACAGCTGCTTTGCACGTGCATTTTCCTTCATACATATCCTGGATCAGCCGGACATATACCTTAGGAATAACTCTTATTCTCATACACCACCAGATGCGCTATCTAGGCAACCTGTCATACGCTTTCTCTAGATCAATAAGCACCATATACAGGTCCCCGTCTCTCTGAAACTTCTCCATCAATACTCAGTGCAAAGATTGCATCCATTGTTGACCTTCCCTGTCTGAATCCAAACTGACTCTTGCCAATATCCACCAGCTTCCTCAGTCTGCTTTCTATGATCTTTTCCTAGAGTTTAATGGTATGACTCATCTATGCTTATTCCTCTAGTTCCCACACTCTTGTACGTAACATTTCCCTTTAAAGATGGGAACCAATTTACTCTCTCTCGACGCAGCAGGCATTTTCTTCTCTGTCCAGATTTTCACAAACAGCCACATCAATATTTCAACACCCTTTTCTCCCGTTAATTTAAACACATCAATTGAAATTCCATTTGTCCCCACTGCCTTTTGATGTTTCATGCTCCCCAGAGCCTCCACTACCTCTTCTCTGGTAATAGTCTCTGCAACTACTTCTACTCTTTGATGTTCCTCAACCGTTTTGCATCTTGAGTTTTCAACATTCAGCAACTTCTCAAAGTAATCTTTCCATCTCTCTCTAACCATTATCTCATCCAAAATTGTTCGTATCTTCACTGTTCTTAACGAGATTCACATGGTGTATGTCCCTGGTATTTCTCTCTCTCTCGCTCTTGCCAAACGGTGTACCATCTTCTCGCCTTCTTTGCTATCAAGCTTCTGGTCGAGTTGTGCAAATGCTGTTTTCTTTGCCATTGCTACCACTCACTTTGCCTCTCTTCTCGCTGCCAGGTATTCATCCAGATGGTGCTTCTCTCTCGTGTTCTGTCACTTCTTACCACCATGTTTCATTCTATTGCATGTCTTCCTTTGTTCACTCCCACTGTACTACCTGCTGCTTTCAATATTCCACTTGCCAGTTGTTCCCATATTTCAATCACGCTCCCCCTAGGCCTTACGCTTTTTAAATCCTTTATATTAAGTTCGCTTGCTTGCTTGCGTGCTTGCGTGCTTGCTTGCTTGCTTACGACCGTGCAAATCTTTCGGTCGTTTTTTAACCCACTTCCCGTGATCCAATCGAGCTGACATTTTGCACACAGACTCGTTGTGCGAGACAATTAATGTTCGTGAAAAATTTTTTCCCAAAATTTTACACTGTTTAGGGAAAACAAATTAAATATTTAATTACCAATTGCTTAATACTGGTAGACAATCATCTGACCCATAGGTGGCAGCCATCTCAAGCCAGAGGACGAGAGGACTCTAGCCGCCACGCATATAAAGGATTTATAGTGAAAAACTTTGTTTTTACGGGTTATACTTATTAAGTTCTCCATAGCTTGCCAACACCTGCATAAGTTTTCTTTCTCATTGCTTAATCACCACCACTTCACCCTGATACAGTCACTTTGTCTCACCTCTCCCTCTTCGTTACTCCTTTCACGACTAGTCTATGTTGTCCAGTCACACACTCTCCAGGAATCGCTTTCAAGTTCCTCACTCATTTCAGGTGCTTCCTCCTCACCAAAATAAAGTATATCTGGCTCTTCACCTCTCTGCTCAGGTAGGTCATCAAATGTTCCTCCTGCTTCTGGAAGTAGGTATTCGAAGAATGTCCTCACTTCCCCCATTCCTACAGCCATATCCGCATCCTCCATGGTTCCTTTCATATCCGTCCTTGTCTTTTCCCATGCCTCTTGCATTTAAGTCTGCTCCCATCACCACTGCTTGATCTACCGGTAAGCTCTGAAACTCCTGGTCTAAGCTCTCCCAAAATGCATGCTTCTCTTGCCCATTTCAGCCCATTTGCGGGGTAAATGCACACACCACATTTACAACCTCACTGTCCAGTACTAGTCTGACTATCATCAGTCTGTCATTCACTCTTCTGACTTCCACCACTTTTATCTTTATCTCCTCACTCAAGACAACTCCAACTCCATTTCGCAATGATGTTGTTCCATGGTATAATAATTTGAAACCACAGCCAATCTCTTTCGCTCTGCTGCCTTTCCATTTTGTTTCCTGGATGCATGCGATGTCGACATTCCTCCTCAAGCAGTCCGCTAATTCCTGACCTTTTCCTGTCATTCTCTCAATATTCCATCTGGCCAACCTTATATTCTTCCCGAACAACCTTCTGCTATTTACATTTTCTTGCTCCATCTTGATATGTGCAACGTCCAGGTCTGCACTCCCTGCAGAGGCAGAGTCATTGGGTCCCGAGATTATTCGCACCCTCTGCACACTTAAGGGCTGCGGGGGACTGAGGGCCACTTGTTTGCAAGGACTTCCCATGTTTTGACTTTAGGGTTTTACGGCCGGTGGCCACCAGACGCCAACCCTCTTTTATTCTGGCTTTGGACAGGCAGAAACACACTTCTGGTGGAGTTAATTGAAAGTTAAACTGTATAACGTTACAAAATTCCGGCGCAAACTTTTTGAAACTATCGGGAATTAATTTGTAGAGTTACCATTTTAGACTTTTATATATATTTATTACACATTATTTAATGAGTCTCATAGAAGGACATTGCATCTATCTTCACTTCCCCTCCTATACTTCACCATTAAAGACCGATACGGGACTCTTAA